TAAAGAAATATGGAATATTGCTATTAATGATAAATTGACATGTGAACTAAAATATAAAAAGAGACTGGCGAAAAGGAATGATTTTGGTGTTATATGGGGTGAATTTCTGGAATATGTTTTTATTAAAGGGAAGGGAGTAAAACCAGATCAATATATATATCATCCTTTTGGAGAAGAGGGCTTATTAAGAATTAGTAATAATAAAAATTTATGATAATAAAAAGTAAAAAGACAAGAAGGGTTATAAGTCCCACGGGTAATGGGTGCACATAGAGGTTAAGTTTATATGTGTCCTATTTTGGTTGTTTGATTGAATTATTTTATGTTTTTGTTATTATTGGTTTTATAATAAAAAAAGAAGAAAAAGTTATAAGTTGATATAAATTTTATAGATTTAGTCCATAATTCTTCCCAGAATATTATTCTTGATTGGGCTAAGCTGAGTCTCCTAAGAGAGGCTGGATTTCAATTATCCTGTACAGTTGATAAAACTGAGTACTCAGAGGAAAAGGGAAGAACAAGGAGGACTCATCTATGAGGCCCAGATGATATCTTTCCAACTATACTCTGTGCAGTGAATTCTGAACACATCCCCAAGACTTCCTATTCAAGGATGTAGTAAGAAACTAGCTATTCTGATTTTTTTTAGGAGTTCTGTGTATGTGATTGTTATCTTCCCTTGTTTTCCTGTATTTCCCCTTTTCCAATAAACTCCTTTTTTATATTAGAGATTTTCCTTTGTTAATTTAATAAAGGAATTTCCCATTAAAACATTCCACACATGCACAAATACAACAGTTACACAGCCACCCCTTTTTTCAGAATTTGTTAGGTTTGTTAAGCTTTATATTTCTTACTTCGAGCAATAATATTCAAAGTGCACCTTTCTAATTTTCTTATGATTGGGGTGTCAGAAAGTTGAGTTTGACTGGGATCAGCCAACTGTAACATCTTTTTAATTTTAGCTTTTTCAAGCCACATTGCCTACCTCCCAACGTCGATCATTGGTAAAAATCTCTTCACTGGCTAGATCCAACTGATTCCATTCCAAAAGCAATTTCAGTTGACCATTCCAGTTATCTTTATCTTGTTCGTTTCTGCTGAAAGCTGTAATTGGAGAAGGAACCCTGGTTAATATTAAAACCACACTCTGGGAAGTACAGTATTCAGTTCTCTTTTTCCAGCTACTCATCTTGTTTGAACTCCCCCTTTTTTTTCTCTAGACCTGTCTATGAAGAAGAATTAATGCTGCTATTAAAACTATGAAAAAGAGAATTTTGACTGTTTAGATGCCAAAAGGTGTTTTGCTCTGAATATATTACTACTTGCGTTTTTTGGTAAATAATACTTCTGTAGCAACCTCTTCAAAACAAAAATTCATAATCTAATCTTATGAATTCTCCAAGAAAAAGATTGTCTTTTAACCTTATGATTCCTCCATAAAGTTGGATCTTAAAGCTGTAATAGGTCCCAAATTGAATACAGCCCTCCACCCACAATATTTTACCCCAGTCCAACCTTTACCAGTGATTGAAGCAGCACACAATCATATTAACTGGGTTAAACATCATCATTTGAGAAAGACAAGAATCCTCAGTAATATTTGTCAGGAAGTGGCTCTTTATTTATTTATTTTTACTATTTATTTAAAACATTTATATAGCTGCCCATCTTGTACCAAGCTCTGGGCGGCTATATAAACTATAAACTCTGGGCAGCTATATATGTACCAAACTCTGGGCACCAGGAGAGTATTGACAAAGCTTCATAGTATCACAAGCCCTCTCTTTAGTCACCAGGTAAGTGACAGTAAGCATGGCTTGGCTACTGCAGCCATCAGTGTTTTGAAGGCAATTTGTTTTGTAATGGAGAAGCTTGGTTTTTCTTCCACTCTTGACTGAATTTAGATGTTCTCATAACTCTGTTGATTGGGCAGAATTAGTGTAACCCTGTTTATGGCTACATTTACCATTACAGGTAGTCCTCGCTTAATGACAGTAATCGGGACTGGAATTTCTGTTGCTAATCCGGTTGTAAAGTGTGATGTCGTGTGACTGTGCCACTTAGCAATGGCAGTTCCCGGGTACCATTATTAGGCGAGGACTATGCGGGTCATTAAGCAAGGACCTCATATGATCATGACTTTCAACTGCCTACTGGCTTCCCCCTTGGCTTTGCTTGTAGGAAGCCAGTAGGGAACATTGCAAATCATGATCACATGACTTGAGGGCACTGCGCTAGCTGAAACTTCGAGGAGCAATCATAACTACCACTCTTTCAGTGCCATCGCAAGTTTGAATGGTCACTGAATGAATGGTTGTTAAATGAGGACCATCTGTATGAGAATTAGTTCACTGGGTCATTTGATCCATTCCTGATTTTCCCACAATATATCAACCACCTCAGTGACTTTCTATGGAAATCAGGGCCTAACAGTGTGAAATTATTCCAAAAAATACAAATGCAATTTTAGGTTGCATCAACAGTGGTAGAATTTCCAAATCATGGAAATTAGTCATTCTACTCTATTCTGCTTTGGTCGGATCCCATATCTAATATTGTGTCCTCTTCTGGTGACCATACTTTAAAAAGAATCTCAGTAAATTGAATTATGTTCAGAAAATCAAAAGATTGGGGTTTTAGGAATGAAACATTAAGAATAAAGAGTGAAGGAATCAGGCATTTCAGTTTTAAGAAAATTGAGAGATAACATAACAACTGAAAGGCTGTCATTCAGAAGAATGCCAAGAGATCTTCTCTATTATAGCAGGCTGGAGATCATGGAATAATGTTTGTAAGCTAAAGGAGGAAGGATTTCAGATGAACATCAGGAAAAACTTTCTAATGTAAGAAACGGCAAGCTGGATGTGTTCAAGCAAGTAACATACAATATTAGGAATATTGTACTTTACACTGGATTCCTGCATTGAATAGGAGATGGGCTCATGGCCTAAATGCCCCATTCAAATTCTATGATTCTATAAGTGAGCTCTGAATTAATTACTTTTAAAAATTTCCACTCATGGTGGTTTGTTAAATACAGTACTGATAATTAAATAAATTATAGCTCTTGAAAGCTATTCAGGGTTTCTGGAAATGTGTAGCATATAAGATGAATCAATGAATAAGAAAACAATAATTACAAAATACCTTTATAAAGAGCATATGAAATGGCATTGCTCACAATTTCATCTCCAGCTTCTTCAATTTTGATCACAGTTAGCAGATGAGGATTTTCAAATATTTCTTTGATCTAAACAAGGTAAATCAAGATTTAATCTATCCCCAAAATCTTTCTAGTCAAGACACCTTTCTTCCACTGAAAAATTTCCTGACACTTAAAAAGAGAAAGTTTTAAGTTCATAGTAAGTAGCTATTACGTTGTATAAACCTTACTATATTAGCCTTATCTGAGTGTATATTTATCACACATTTATCTTGTGCTTTACAAAGAACAGATATAACAGACTTTATCTCCACAGAACTTACAGTTTAAAACTGACATGAGGAAGAAACAGATAACTGTAAGAAATGGAAACATACAGAATACATGTGTTTCAATGGTGTGTACCTTGGCTTAAATACAGTGAAGCTCAGAGTCTAAACTTTTTGGAAAATACAAAAAGATTTATAGAAAGGAAAATGACTGCACATTCCATTTGCAAGGGGAAAATTGCTGTATTTCTTTCTGGGAGAAAGAAAGACCCCTTTGGGCAGTAAGAAAGAGAAACAAAAGTCAAGGAAGGAACATGTAAGGAATAGACAGGACCCAAATGACTCAAAGGTGAGGACAAGTAGCTGATGCAGGACTCAGGAGTGGACAAATCAGAGGAAGGAGGTAAGCAATTTTGCCAAGGAAGTACTGGATGAAGGTTAAATAACAGAAATCCAAAGAGAAAATGACACCATAGTCAAAGCAACATACCATATGTCTACAGCCTTAATATTCCTACTAAAATCTGGAGAAATCAAATCCACAATTTGGAGGGACATCTAAAATTTTCTCCCAGATTTTTATTAAAATAAATTTAATCTCATTATATGAAATTCTGTGAAAAATTAGTTCAAAATAAATTGTCATGGAGTTTTAGATTTTAAAAATCTTCTCCTGATAGATTGTGATTTCAAAAGTAGGCTGCTACTAAAAGTACACTTTCCTCCTTTCTCTTCAAAAAGATGGATTTGAGCATATAAGTGTATAACCTTCTTGATCCTTCCTATAATCTCAACATTTCCAGGAACAGATAAACATTGGAATTAGGCACTAATTACAAGGGTTGAAGATACATATTTTTGTGGAGTATGAATCTAATATCTAGAAAGTATCTATGAAGGAATAGCATATAAACATTCAGAGTAGTAAAAGAAAGTGATAAGCACAAAATGCAAGAGAACATCATGAGTAATACTGGGAAGTGTTTATGACAAACCCTCTAATATGATTATAGTCATAAAGTAATAGATTAAAAAAGTTGTGCTCTGATGAAATAATATACCAATAATGGAGAAAGCCTTTTCTGCAAACTAAATGATTCTTCCATTGGGGTTTAGGGCCATTTTACAAACAGAACATTATCATTTTCCATGCACCCAGTTTTTCCTATCAAAATAACATTAACATGGTATGGATCATTGATTAAAGACCAATATACTTGAACTAGGACTCTTTTTTAGGCTTTTCTATTTGCTATGAATTTGAATTTATGCTGAAACAAATACACAAATCACTCAACCAAATTAGCCACATAAATGTATCATACTTCAGATGAAAAAATACTATTAGAAATGGGGCAGAAAAAAATTGAAACACTTTTGAGTGAACAGAATTTTGCCATCATGTTTTTTTTCCTTGTCTATTCTTCCTTTATTTATTTTGGCTTTGTTTGTACAATACAGTACACTAGATGAAGCTAAAAGGGCAAGGGGTACAGTTCAGCATGTTATAAATAACCAGATATTGCTTTAGCATGTTGTATGAGCCAGGCCATATGCTTTATTTGTTTAGGCATAGCATGTTCTATGGACATAGTAATCATTCTTTGTTAATCCAGTCTTGTGTTTAAAATTTTGTGTGAACCTAGCTTATGTGTACAAATTGTATAGCTAAGTTATACAAGTAGTCCTCGCTTATCAACCACAATGGGAATTGGAAAATAGGTCGTTAAGCGGGGCGATCGTTAACCGAGTCACCATGTGACTGGACCCAATTTTACGACCATTTTTACAATGGTTGTTAAACAAATTACCATTGTTGTTAAGCGAATCACGTGTTCTTTAAATAAGTCATGTGGTCATTAAGCAAATCCAGCTTTCCCAAAGGACTTTTTTGCCAGAATTCACTTAATGACCATGTGATTTGCTTAACAACCACATGATTCACTTAACAAACTCAGTGATTCACTTAACAACCATCATAAAAAAGGTCACAAATCACAATCACATGACCACAGGGGTGGTGCAACAGTATGCAATGGTCATAAGTGTGAGTACAGATCGTAAATCACTTTTTCCGAGGGCATAGTAACTTTGAACCATCATTAAATGAACAGTCATTAAGCAAGGACTACCTGTCATGTCAGCTCTGGTGAAGGCTCTTCCTGATTCTCTCCACCAATTCAGTCCTCAAATAGTTGATTGGGAAAGTGACAGAAGCTGTTAACAAATTCTGAGTGTTTTTGGCATAAACTGAGTGTTACTAATTTTCAGGGAGAAAAAAGCCAAAAGGAAAAAAAAAAAAGCAGACAGCAAAAGGAAAAGACATTCAAAAGGAACAAAAGCAACATCAAGCAAAGCTCAGATACTGAACATCTGTCTAGCACTATACAGTGTACAATACAATTTTGCTGTCAACTAACCAAAGAAAAGAGCTCTGTTTATAAATAAATAAACTACTTTTAATAACTACATTTTACCATGGGATTCTTGGACTTTGCAATACCATAATTGTCTACACCAAGCTTGCACAGGCAAAGCCTAGAGTGAGTTTTAGCAGCAAGCACACTGCCTGGAGAAGCCTGATCATGTTTCTAAAAAAAAAAACTGGAACTCTCCTGCTAGTTGCTTGCAAACCCTCAAGGGGTCACAACCCACATGTTCAGGACTCTTGGATTATCTCATATTTTGGGTTCACAGGATATAAATTAAGTAACCAAACAGCATCTGCGGAACTAATTGTAGGGTTAATGAATCAGGGCTGCAAAAATCTGGACAACAGCACAGCGATACAGAAAACTTCAGCCCCTTCCTGGCATCTAGTACCTCCCCAGATTTGACAGCTCTAATCTGCCTTCTAATAAATGGGTGTTAAATTTTGTGCCAGCCAGCCCCCCACCCCATCATTTGTGAACAGAAAGCTTCCTAATGCAGGCAAAAATGTGCCCTAGCCCAAAAAGGTTATCTACCTTGAAACACACAAATAAATATTTGAGTGAGGAGATGTTCTAAGTGCCATCACTCTCTCTCTCTGTAGCTATATATCTGGGGAAAATTGTAAATAATTAATACAGATTATTACAAATAATTAGCACAGATTCTATAGAATTTCAAAATGGTCTCTTGGTAGTTCATAGTGAAATGCTATAAAAAAGGAACCAGAAAGACAAGTCAGTGGGAAAGCAGTCACATTCTTAGCAATAAACAAGGCATAGCAGTTGAAAATATCACACTGTTTCTCAAAGCATGCTCATATTGTCCTAAGAAATATCATTCTTTGTGGCTTCAATTAATTCTGCTTTAGTTTTTGCTTCAATTCATCATGATATAGCTAAAGAAAAAAATCTGTTTCTAGTTTTACAAGTCTTTCCATTTGAGATGTTCTTTTAAAATATATTTAATGTATTTTTATCATTTAACTCGTTTTATAATTTTATTGTTATTTTGTATACTTTGTAAATTGTCTTAAGAATTCTTTTAAAGTGAAGAGCAGGATATAAACTGCATTATAAATTTTATTATTAATAAATTAATAAATTAGGAAAATATTAAAACTAGCTATTGCATCTAAGCCCTGAACTATCTGAAGCAGAATACATTTTCCCCTTTTCTCTTAGGTCAGCATTCATCAAGCTCTACAACACAGTCCAGCAAATTAATTATATGTACAACCAGTAAATCTCCCAGTTACATAAAGAAAGAATTTATACACTTACACATTTGATCCAACTCTCAATTTCCTCTTCACCGAGTCTAGAAAGTGTGCGAGGCAAGTATCTGAGCAATCTCTCTTTAACAGATGAGGAAGTCAAGGTGCCTTCAGCCTCTGTCAAGCTTGCAATCACATCTGCTATCTGACCAGAACCTTCCACCACAACACAGGGAATTTTGTTCTTGATGGCAGTGTTAATCGCCTATGGAAGAGACTACTGACAATTAAAGTTCACAGAACAGTTTTCCAGCTCTATGTATGGGATATACGTGAGTCCAGCTGTGCATACAGCTGCTTCCAGTAGTCATAGTGCTTTTGTATGTACAAAATAACACACGCACAACCATCAATCCTGGCAATCCTCATTCATGACACCCCCATCACTCCAGCCAGTCATGTGGCATTATGCCAGAACAGCTAGGGGTACATGATGTGGATGACAGACTCGCCGTTGCAGGGCCTAGTTAACTGATTTGAAAAACACCACATGTTCAGCTGAAAGTGTCATGCAGAACAGTTATTGTAATCTAATTTTCATTGTCTACAAGTAGCCCTCTTTTTAAAAAGTACTGCTTTCTATTAAAGTAGATCTACTGTACCAGAACAGAAGCCACACTTACTGCTCTTCTGAAAGGCTTTCCTGGTTTGTGTACTTCCAGTTTACACTATAGTGGTTAGACAAACTGTCATCTAGAAGCACATTCGATAGGACATGGCTAAACCTATTAGGTCTGCTTTAAGTGAAAACTGTTCTAGTCTTCATCACAGGGCCTAAGCACACTGAGCAATCACAACATTTCTTAAAGGCTTCTTAACTTGTTTGGGTTATCTAGCCCGTTTAGATCGGTTGTTAAAATTACGTTTGGAAAAACAGGAATGGAAGATGACTAGGTCTGTCCGTCTCTCTCTCACACAGTTTTCTCACTTATTAGCCATCCATCGCCACCAGCCATTGTTATCTTTTGCCGCTCCTGCTCCCGCGCTATCTTCAGCAAGGTTAGCCGACTCCGAGAGAATTCCCAGTTCTCCGGTGCACCTGAACTGCTGCAATCCGGTCCACTCGGGAAGTCTCTTCGGCTGTCAGCGGCACCCTGGGAAATGTAGTGCAGAGGCAACTGGGCTTGGAAAGTATAATAAAAGTTTCCTCCTTGGAATGTGGTTTATTCGTTTAAGCTTTCCACCAATACCATCACAAAGAAACCAGGCGTTTTTCAGGAAGAACCAGCAAAAATACTTTGGTGGACCTCAGTAAATGACACCCCCCCCCATATATTTGGGAATGGCACGTGTTCTGTCCAAAGTAAGTAAATCCATGGAAATGGAACGTATCTCTTTCAAACAATCTTCCTTAAAATTGGTGATGAACATTAGGATGATTAAAAGTAAAAGCAGAAGTATAGAAATATTTTTTTATGTTTAGGATAGGTTCCTAATTTCTGTTGGAAAATTATTGTAATTTCCAGTTACGTTTGCACCCAACACGTTCCCAGTCAATTCCTGTATTCAGATCAGAGCAAGCACACAAGCTACTTAGTTCAGCTAGCAAAAATATAAAGCTTGATATTTATTTATTAACAGCAAACCCAAAAACAGCTAACTGGCAAAAACAGGATAGAGGACAGGCAAAAGCTCAGTGAGTGGGTGGGTGTGTAAACAACAGGCAACAATTTACAGTATGTATTTACTTATATAGCAAAAGTCACAGAACTTTCAAGATCCACTGGAATATATATATATATATTGTGGCTAATTAGCATGGTCAGTCCCAAGGGGAGTGGCCTTTGGTTATTCCAGCTGTAACCCTTTTATGTACATAGCAGTAGCAGAACAGAGATGGAAAGTGGGACACCAGGTAATCCCTCCTCTATTCTGTACCAGGAGGAAACCATTTGGTAGATGAAGATGATGTATCCAACATCCCCCTTCTCATCAGCTCCATGCGTTGAACTGTAATAGGTTATATCACCTGGCATCATTTCATGCTGAGTCCCAATCCTTCTCTCAGCCTGAAGAAGAAATCCTGGGCAGTGGCGTGCTAGGTACAACTGCCACCATATCAGTTGGACAGTACTTCTTTTTACTTGCATAGTGCAGTTGATCATCTGTGTGTTTCATATGGATCATCTGGACTGCTTTGTGTTTGCAGTTCTTATACATTCCATGTTGTCTTCAAACAATTTGGTTGAGATTGGTTATTTCTGCAACCCTATTTTGTTCTGGTTATAACTTAATTTTTTTTCATGTTTTATGACTTTATTATTCAAATTATTTTCAAATTCCCAATTGCAATATTCTCTTCCATTATAAGTCTTTAATGTCTTTATTTTTCTTTCGAACTTGTTTTCTACATTAAGAACTGTATAGTTTGAAATTCTCAAATACTTCACTTATTGCTTAACAGCAGTGTTTCTCAACCTTGGCAGCTTTAAGATGTGTGGACTCCAACTCCCAGAACTCCCCAGCCAACATGCAGTTGAAGTCCACACATCTTAAAGTTGTTGAGGTTGAGAAACACTGGTTAAGAAAGATGTGCAAGTAACAGTCAATTAATATTACAAAGTAGTTTTTTCTGCCCTTTGTTTTGATTGGCATGACACTACAAAAGTCTGAAAAAATAAGTTCTGGTGGGCTGGCTTGTTTGAATTCAACCCCGGGGAAACTGTTCCTCTTCTTTTCAACAACACATTTTGATTCTCTTTGTTTCTTGCAAGCACAAACATTTAATCCAATCGCTAGGTCCGCATCCTTTATTTCCTTACAACAGACTCAAGCATGTGACTGAATCTTCTATGCCATTTTGCAGAATTATTATTATTACACATACTGTACACCCTGCTACTTTAGTTTAGCTTGTATAAGCTCCAGCAGATTAGTTTCATTGTGCTTTCCACAATGAAGCTTCCTTTCTAACAGTGCAAAATCAACATTTTTGCAATCATGTTGCATAAGATAACACAGGCTTATGTAATTTGCATCTGATTCAAGTACATAATATGCTTCTTGGAATATTCCTACTTTTATTACGATTTATCAAGCATTTCAGTTTAATATTGTACCACCTTTTCTACATACAGCTATCAACATTCCATTTCCTAAATTAACTTTTCCTTAATAAGATTAATCAAACACAGATATATTGACTTGATATTATTACTATCCAGCAAAAATTTGTTTTTCTTTTCAAATTCAAAATTATATCCAATTTCAAGTAAGCATTTATTTGGTTTTTTCTCCATCATATTATTTTTGCAATTCATGTGCAGGCTTGACTTTTCTTTAAGGACATTTCATCTCATTATCTTTCTCTGTTGTATGGGTTTTAACTATGTAAAATTTTCTATTCTTTGTAAATCTTTGAAAAATCTCTTAATATGCCTTTTCCTATTGCAGTAACAAGAGACTATGTTTCTCCTTTTTATCTTGTGTAGAGAATTCCCTTCAGTTGCATCATTCAGTTCAGGCTGGTATGTCTCCAATTTGGCAGTTACATTTTCAAGGGAAACATCATGACATTTAATGAACTCTATTATGTATTTATAGTTTTCTGGTAATGGACTTAATAACAGTTCCTTGGTGAAAACTTCAGAAAGATACGCACCATTTGTTTTAGTATCGTTCTATTCAGAAAACATGTTGACATACGTTCCATTAAAAATCCATTCCCTGATATTTCAGATTTACTATTTCTGGACATTAAAGTATTACTGCTCATTCCTGAGTGTGCATAGCTTGTCCCAAATCTCCTTTTCTAAAGCAGTTTTGAATCAACATATAGTTTGTCAAGTTCAATCTTTGAATTATTTCAGATTTCAGTAACCTGCCCTATTTCATCCAAGTTACCCTAGCTTGGGCTTCTGGGCATGGCATCTCCAAAACCTTTAAGAGGTCCAGCTTTTCAAACAATGCTTCACCCTTCATATTCCATCCACATATTGTATTCTTTCCCACCTTCAAGGATGAGATTTTCTGGTCCCAAAGTCACTGCCATTTTCAACAATTTTATGCTAGTTTTATAGGCATCAAAAAAAATGTTCCTCAATTAGAATGTTTTAAATCTTAATGATATCTACAATGTGTGGGCTCTGAGTGCTAATTCAGCTGTATGACAGACCAAGTGCCTGAAAATAAAAACTGGGGTATTTTGGTTGTTCTAGGTGCTCATTATTTAGTATAGTATTTATCTACTGGCCCCATAACTGTTTGTTTGCAAAATGGGATAGACAGTCCCAAAGGTCTTTGGTTGTTCCACCTTTAACCGTTTTATGTATGTAGCAATACCAGAATAGAGATGGAAAGTGGGACACCAGGTGCTCTTTCCTCTATTCTGCACCATGAAGAAACCATTTGGTTGATGGGGATGATATATTCAACAATTTGGCTACCTTTGCTCATATATCTAGTAAAAAAGTGTTTTGGAATTTGAGCATTAGTCAACAGAAATTTAAATGAAGAAAGCAGGGTAAGAGATCTTTAGGTACAGTCGTTGACATCTGGATTTCATACACAGTTCACATCTGGATTTCATATGTCACATGGGTGGTGAATTTAGGAGAGGGCTAAGGTTTTTTAATGTAAGAAATTTATGTTTAATGGCAGGCATAATGTAATATTCTTCATTTTTTACTGTATTGTATCATGTGGAACTCATCCATAGTATATGATAGCCATCACAGAAGCTGATGGAAGTATTAGGAGCAAAAGGTTATACAATATGAAAAGAAACCAGAGTTATTGGCAGCCTTGCAGTTGGGTGGCTGGTTGGCGGTTGTGATAAGTTATTGGAACCAGTTGTTGCCTCATTTAGAAAATATAACTGAACAGGCCCATTGGGTATTGTCAGAATATGCCATGTGTGCTCAAAGTAAGGGAGGGCTTGTCTATTAAGAAGTGGATATCGGTAATCATACCATTGACTAGAAGGCAACTGAGTAAGATTGCTCTTTCTCACATGAGCCTTTTAGCTGCCCAAGATGCTGTCTGACACCTAAGCTTACCTGTGCAGAGGATTACAACAACCCCACATTTTTATTTCTTAAGTGCCAATGGAGCCTATATAGAATCCAGTGGCTCTCTTGGAAATAAGGAGACACCAAAGCATGCCAGTTCTTTCCAAATGTTGCTTAAAAAAAATAAAATAACCTTTATACATTTCCTGGAGAGGCCATAATTTTTATTTGTCCCTTCTCCTCTCTGAACATTGTTTGGATATATCCTTCCAGGAATATGACAACTTTATATCAGCATTTATTTATTTATCTAACATTTAGTATGTTCATGGACATAGTTCAATAGAAGAGAAAATAACTCAGGGTTGAAGAGTCCTTGGTGCTCTCTGAGCTTGGTTGTTTGCTTGTAGACGTTTCATTACCTGATTATGTAACCTCATCAGTGCTAGTGAGCGTGGGGTTTGCTCCCTGTTTATATACAGTAGCTTGCCCTGCCAGTTTTGGTGGGGGTGTGATAATCCTCTGCCTGTCTGTCCTACATAGGGTTACAATTGTTACATTGTATGTTGTAGATCACTCCTGATTTTTCTTCTTCGGTTATTGGGTCTTTTGGTATACTTACGATGTTTTGGAAGGCTTTAGTTGGTTTGTGTGCTATGGTGATATTGTATGGTTGTAATACTCCGTTGGTTGCTTCTGAGATGTTTTTGATGTATGCTAGTGTTATCCTTTTATATCTCGTGTTGGTTGTGCTGTAGTGGGTTGAGTGGTCAGGCACTTGTTGATAAAGTTGCGTGGGTACCCATTTTGTTGTAAGATGCTGTATAGGTGGTCTGTTTCCTTTTTTTGGTGTTCTGCGTTGCTACAGTGCATTTGTACTTGTCTGAATGATGTTCTTACACAGCTCCTCTTGTGGGAGGTTGGGTTGTTACTTTGGTAATGGAGCACTTGGTTAGTGTGGGTTGTTTTTCGATAGACTTGTGTTTCTAATATGCCATTGTTTCCTCTGCTGAAGAGGATATCCAGGAAGGGAAGTGTGTTGTTTTCTTCTTCCCTTGTGAATTTTATTCCTTTAAAGATGTTGTTGATTGTTTCATATGTCTTCTCTAGTTGTTCCTTTTTCATTATAACGAAGATGTCGTCTACATACTGGATTCATATTTTTGGTTGTATGTGTGGAAGTGCCCTCCAAAACATCTTAAGCCCTCCAAAACATCTTAAGTAAACCAAAAGATCCAGTAGCCCAAGAAGAAAAAACAGGAGTCATCCTCAACATACAGTGTTGTAAGGATTGTAACAGCCACTGTGTAGGACAGATAGGTAGAAGACTAGCAGAGCGCAACCATGAACACCAACTAGAAGTCGAAGACATTATGAAAACTCCTTAATCTCACAACACATGGACAGACTCAACCATAGACTCAACTGGGATACTGTGAGGATCCTAGATTAAGCTAAATCCAAAAACACTAGGGAATTCCTGGAAGCTTGGCATTCAGACAAATCAGCCATCAGTAGATACATAGAGATAAACCACATTTACATGCCATTCAAAAGAGACAATAAGAAAGCTAAGAAGGAAACAAAAAGACCAGAACACATCTTCTC